TTTGTTATGACCTCTTGCAACCTTTCACTGGTCTTGACTGTACAGGACGCTTCTGCCTATTTGCTTTTCTTGGCTTTGTCAAAGCGATTTCGAATTGAAAATGAAGCGCGCTGACTACAGACAGCTCACATAATCGCGGAAACCCTAAGCGGTTGAGTCGGCTACTGGCGCACCATGTTGAAGTTGCAGGACATCGCGGAGGATTTGTGTTGAGCGTTTCTGCGAGTGAAGCAAGGCAAATTTAATGACGTGAATAAAATCGGAGATGAACTTGATTATTGACATACCAGTGCTACACCCCTCCTTTGGAGAGTTTCGCCCGGTTCGCGTATAAAGAATTAAATTTCTTGTTTTTTTACAACGCTAGCAGAACAATATCAATTCAGTTTGATACAATTACATGCGCTGTTCTCCTAAAGAGTTGAACATTTGATTTAATCTAACGCCGTCTTGAAGGAAAAAGGCAGAAATTTTAGAATATTTCAGAAACCGATTCTATGCCCCCACAGCAACACGTAATGAACAAACAACTTACCACGTTCTTCGGAGAAAATTGCTCACGTTTACTTAGTGTACTGCAGTTAACATGATAAGGATTGATAACTGCTTTTTGACTTTCTCAGGACAAATGAGATAATTTCGTGACAGAGAGAAAAATGTACACACACATACAGACAATCTTAGCGCCTTAATGTAAGTAATAATGCCGAAAACAAATCACATTGTTCGCATTATATTACAAACAAAAATCAGTCATTCTATTGCTTCGGTAAAATCTTGTGCACATGCAAATAATCTTGAGCTTTATCTTAGCATCTTTACAGCACTAGTTTGACAATCCTTTTTTAAAATCAAAATCAACAACTTTTACGGGTAAAAAGTAAGAAAGCAGACTGATTATCAAGGAAATTGGTGTAAACCATTGAATATTTCTCAATGCCAAAGATTGAGATTTTATCCGGTGGAAAAATTGGCACTCCGGAGAATAAATACTCATCAATCTTGCACCAGTATCGACATTTTTGAGCGAGAGCATGTGCTCTTTACCTCTATAAAAGGATACTTCAATTGTGATTTGGTTCAAAAAACTTTGATTCACAACGGTACATTCTTACACATTCTCAAACAAAGCATATTCATAAAGACGTGTGGCAAGTAACAAAGATACCCCGGGCAGTGCGAAGAGAATGCGTTTTTGCCTGTTGCAGAAGATATGGATGAACACAACGAAGTCTACAGGAAGACTCCATGAGTGCATATACAAGTACTTTACTAGCAGTAAGTAGCCTTGTTGCATATTATTTCACTAGTAAATGCGAAGAAATGATTTAGTGGTTAACTCCTATAGTGATGTAAAGGAATACGTAAAAAAGCAAGACGAACTGTACAAGGAATACGACAGCACATCAGAAGAACTCCCTCCACAGGTAAGACCGGATGAGGTATTCTATATGGTGATTGCTTTATGTAACCAGTTGAAACTTCTCTAGATTGACAGACAGCTTCGCTCTGCGAGTTGTACCACCATTTGTAGTTCGTTTTCAGGTTGACGACAGAACCATAACCACGGATGCAACGGATGCACAAGTTGCCAGAACCACAACCATGGATGCAATGGATGCACAAGTTGCATCTGCAAGTACACTAAGATTTTGTTATTTGATATATTCCTTCAACTCTTTACTTACTTATATTGCCTTATAGGTCCCATAAGGTGCTATGAAGGAATTTTCGGAAGTGAGCTTAAGAAGATAGAAGTTGACCCGGTAACTTTTTGTACGAGAGA